TATTTTTTAGCCTGCCACGCCCTGTCGGCCATTGCACAATGAAAAGGGTTCGACACCGGAGCAGGATCTGGGATCCGGGATTCAGGACTCGGGATCCATGGAACCAGAGTTTCAAGCACAAAAGGACCACCACAATGGCACGTCTGACAAACAAGGCGCAAACAACAACAACGCCAAAAAATGAAAACACGAATGGCAAGAAACCGAAACCGAAAAAGGTGTCTCGAAATATATATAAAAATAGCTAAATTTATTGGACAGTCGCACGCCACCCATTTAATTTATATTTATAGAAAATAAACACCAAAAGCAATGCCATATCCTTCCGCAAAAAAGAAAACAAAATGGGTGGACAAAAAAAAATTTGGAAAAGTCTGAAAAGGATGCTGCAAATGAAAAGAAAGAAAATGATATGCTTCATGAAACACATCTAGAATAATTGGTTGTCTTTCCCTTTTTTTCTTTGTTTAATAAACTTAATTAAAGATAAATACATTTTTGGTAGATCTAAAATGATTTTATTTACTTTTTTGTGTTATGAAACTAAACTAAAATAAATTAAATGTAATTGATGATTGACATCATGCAATTTGTGGTTTATTTTCTACTTTCCCTTATTTCCGATTGTATCGATAATATTCTACAGCTAACTAAAGCCTTAAAATCAGCTTAACAGACTTCCTTTCATAAGGCGTTCTTCTTCCTATCTCCCAAGTATAATGCAATAAATTAGCCTTCATTCTTTGGCACTCCTTGGGCCTCCTCAACAGGAGAGAGCAACAAATTAAATGTCAAACGACAAGGGGACAAATAAAAAAAAGGAAAATAAAGAAAAATTCCCACTTCGAAAGCGAAAGAAGGGGTCTGTCTTTTCTTTTCTTCGCCTCGTATTAAAAAACAATTTGCTGACAAAAAAAAGGAAAAACACATGAGAAAACTTGCGACACGCGTTACGCACACAAGATAAAAAAATCCAGAAAAGAAAAGGACACGAGGGCCACGGAAATTGGCCACAAAAGATGCTAATGATTTATTTAATCGATTTGACCATGAACATATGTCCTTCTTTTCGTGCGGAGCGTGTGAAAAATGACCGAAAATTCCGGGAGAATTGGGTGGGACATCCTCTTCAATTTTATTTCCCCATTTTTCGCCCCTTTTTTCTTACCATTTTTTGGCTGTTTTTTTCCCTCCCCATTTGTTGGCAGTTGCAGTCAAGTGACCGGCTGATCTTTTTAATAGTTTTCGGTTACGCAGCGTTGACAAGGGTTTTCCTTTCCCAGGACATCCAGGAGCGAAAGGGTCAATATTGGATGGGTGGGTGGACAAAGTGGGTGGTGTGGTCAAGTGTAAGTCGTTTCGGCTTTGCTGTGTAAATTATGTTAAACGTTTGTCAATTTGTGTGATTTGTCTTGTCTGCCAAAAGGGGCAAAAGGTGCGAAAGGGGTTAACCGTCCATGGTCACGCGCTATTAACTCCAATAAATGACAATAAAAGAAGATACGAAAAAGGTGTGGATTTGTGGGCATGTTCAATGATTTGGATTGATCTGGGATAATGCCCCTTTCGATTAATCAATTTTGTTTGCTTTTTATATATTCCGACTATAGAAATGATTTTAAAAGTTGTTCGGAAGTATACAACAATATATTTTAAACGAAAATTTTTTTCTCTACATACTTTGCGACACCTTTGATTTTAAACCCATTTTCAGTTATTTCTATTTATTTCCAGATTGACCACTAGTTTTTCGGTCTGAATTTCTGTTTAGTAGGTCGCCATTTGGGGTGTTTTGGGAGTTGGGGGTCGGAAAAATCAGCTCATCTCTGTTTTATACAGACAATAAATAAAGAGAAGATGGGGAAAACGTAAGACAAGTTTTTCATTTTTTTACTGTGGAAAGTGACTAACAATGGGTGTGGCTGGGGGAAAAGAAGAAGAAAAGAAAAAGGGGCGGCTAATAAATCGGTTTCAATATATCAAAGACTTAAATTTCAATTTTTTTCAAATTTCCTGCCATTTAAATGCACTCCTTCGTCCGAGGGATTTTCCAGGGGGGTTTGGGGGGTTTGCGGACCCCATTGTTATGGTTGGCTGGTAAATGATGCGAAAGGAGGAGGGGGATTCGTTGGACATCGCTTGGCATTCGCTGCAGAATTGTGCCTTTTTGAGTGAGCCAAGAATTGAATATTTCTCTTCGCTTTTCTTTCCCAGTATTTTTTACCCACTTCTCTGGTGGGTCTATCTATCCAATTTTTTGTATTTTTTCGCCTTCTTCGCTTTTGCTTTGGCGACAGACAACGACGCAATTCTTTAGCATTTTATTTCAATTTTCCTCGGCTAGTCGCTGAGTCGGGGAGTCGGAGGAGTCAACGCAGTGTACAGCACATTTACTGCCTCATCTATTTAATACCATAAATAATTGCATCTAATTAAATATGCTCAAATGAAAATGTCCGCTTTTCTTTCTTATTTTTTTTTTCGTACCCCCTGTCCAGGACTTTTCCGCTTTCCTTTTTCTTTTTTTTTTAAACCATTCTCAGCTACGTGCCATGAGTTGGCTGCAGTTGACGCGTGATGGAGCGAATGTCATTCGAAATGAAATTCAAGTTCCAATTTGGACCCGCGAAGGCGAAAAAAAATGGGCTGGGGGTGTTGGAAAATAGCGCGGAAAATGGGAAAAGATTGGGTGCCAAGGAGAAATTAAGTAGCAGCGGGCGAAAAAGGGGGGATAAAAAAGAATTTAATAGTTTTCAATTAGGAATCGTTTGCAGCCTTTTCTTTTCGCACCCTCTCTCTCTTCCTCATTCTCTCTCTCTCTCGGTTTCCTTTATGGCACACACTTGATGCCACCGCCGCGCATTTTCACCATTTTCCCATCGCTTTCCACGGCCCTTTTCCAAGTGTCAAGCAAATGAAGTCACGACTCCCGTCGTCCTCCCACTTTTGTCAGTTCTTGCGCCTTTTTTTCGCTTATCAGATATACCCTGTAGGGATTTTAATTAGGAAAAAAAGTGGGAGCGTCGTTAAAAGTTGTAAAAAAAATAAATAAATATAATCCTAAAACAATAACAATATCTTTAATATAAAACTAAATAAGTTGACTTAATATCTAATAATTTTTTTATTTTGTGAAGAAAAAACTTATTTTTTTTAAATATAAATATATTTTAATGTATTGTATTTTTCAATATAATACTGTAAAAGAGAATTTATTTCTAATAACTAATTAATTTTGTAAAGTGAGGACTCTAATATTTTAAATTATAGATATATTTTAATTTCTACCACTGAGTATCAACAATTCGTTATCCTTGTGAAAATCCCTTTACATTCTTCAGAGTTTTCCGTGCCACTGTTGTTGTTGTTGCTTTTCCTGCTTTTAATTCAACGTAAATTTTATTTTATTTTAATTTCGCTGCAATTCTTTTAGCACACTTCTGTCTTGCCGTCTCCCTCTCTCCGCTTGAGTCTATCTCTTTCTATCTTTAACACAACGGGTTGTCTTTATGAACCCAACGCGCGCCGTTGAAAAGAAATTCTTTGAGTATTTTGTTGGTTTGTTTTTCTTTATTTTATTTTATTGAAACGATGTCCCGTGTATTTTGTCACGTGACTCTCATTTAAGCGCAAAATTGTCAAGCAGTCGGGGGCGTAATTATTGCCTGGCATTGCTTTAATTAATTAAAAATTAGTCATTTCTCAAGTCAACCAATAAAAGTCAAGGAAAAAGGGTTTGAAAAATATAATTAATTTATTAATTAATATATTTCGAAATTATCCCAAGTAAAAATCCAATACTTAAATTTCTATTTAGTTTCCTATTCTTTCCTCTCGATTAGAAACCAATAAATAAGCCTGAAATATTTGCAGCAAACTTTCAGAGACACTTAACTTCTGCCTTGTTTCGGGAACTGAACTGAACTGGGATATTTATGGTGACCCCGGCGCAAACTTTCACTTCAACTTCGGACGGAATACGGAATACCAGGGGCAATCAATGCAGAGGGCCAAAAGAAACAAGTCAAGACAGTTACCTAAATAACTTTGCAGCAGCAGCAGAGGAGGAAAAACGGTGCAAAACACGGCAAAAACAATGGCAAAACAACGAAGGGGAAAGGTTCGCGGGAAATTAACGGCAATACCGGTGAATTTCGGGGGGGAAAAGCGAGAAAAGCCGGCGAAAACTTATTGAGCAACGACCTAAAACAACAACAAAATCCTTAGCCGCCGAATTTCTGGCCTGTGATGGTTCGATGAATTTATTACTTTTGATGTTCAAACACGAAAACTGCTGCAGGCCATAAAACAAGGTCTCTAGACCTCCGATATCCCCACTTCTCCACTCTTTGGCGGAGTGAAGCAAATGCTATTAAAAGTTTATATGTCTCAATAGAGTGTTAAGAGATTAGTTGGCATAAAATATTTACAGAATTTCAACGGAAAAGTTCAGGGCAGATTATTACCGAAAAAGTGGAATGGAATGGGGTGGTTCCATTAGTTTTAAAAAGAATTGGCGAACATTTTATTTTTTCAAAGCACACGGAAAGTGTCATGAATTAAATTTATTCAGGGTATTCCCTAAACTGTTGATTGCTGAATGAGCAGGAAAAAGCCACGTCATCGGCCCCGATTCCAAGTGGTAGCAATAGAAATTATCTTCGATGTGGAAACATTTCTCATTAAGATATTCCAAAAAATTGTATAAAAAGTTGCTATTTTCACCAAAAACCCAAATCTTGATTTTTCACCCAAAAATATGTAAACATTACAAACAAGCTTTTGTGTTTCCATATACTAATGAACCATTACGATGAGAGCTTCAGCCTTGTCACTAAATAACAGCCAATCACGAAATGATAGTTCATAAAAATCAAGGCTTACACGCCACATAATCGTGTACGAACAGCGATTTGGCGTGAGAGATTAGAGATTCAGCCGTACTTTGTAACTATATATATTTTGAGATCTGTTCGATCGGCGGACAGTGTAGTTGGCAGTTGGCAAGATGGCAGTGCGCCATTTATTTACTCTTTTTCTTCCAATCATTTTGGTTCTAATGTGTCGTGGGGAAAAGCCGTACAATGTTGAGTTGAATACCTTTGAGATGGACCAAACCATCGAAAATCAGGATAACTGGGTGGTCTGGGGAACGCTGAGGATGAAGAAGGTCTCGCGAAATAAATTTGTGGTGTCTGGGGACTTTGAATTTAAACTCAATATGGCCGATCAGCAAAAGGTAAATTGGTTAAGCCATAAATATATTGAATAAAATATTAAAATAACATTTTATCCTTTTAATTTAATGTTCTCTTAAATGTTGTAACATTTTTAAATCATTTTTTTTAAATTTAATCATTTAAATCTTCTAAAGAGTAAATATATTGATTAAAAAATAAAACCTTTTTTAATTCTTACTTATTTTATGTTCTCTAAAATTTTCTCAATATTTTAAATTCGAACCTAATATAGATGATAAGTTATTTTTCCTTAATTATTTTATGTTTTCTTTAACGTTTTATAATTTGAAAATATTATTTTTTCAGATTGCTCTAATGGTTTTTACCTACGATCAAAACACCAAAAAGCGCGGGGCGATGGTCTTGAATGTGAACAAGCCGTTCTGTCAATTCATCAAGGAGGACGAGGACACGTATCCCCAGATTCTGAAGGTCTCAAACTTGCCGGAGCAGGGAAAGTGCCCCTTTCCGAAGGGAAAATACCAGATTGACAACTACGAGCTGGAGACCAACTTCCTGCCCGATAATGCCCCCAAGGGGGACTATCTGCTGCAGTTGACCTTGATGGATCGAGAGATTCCAGTGGCTGGACTTGTGGCCACCGTGACCCTGACTTAGGAGTCCTTTTCTTTTTTTTTTGTCTTACTAGTTTATTATATTTTCCGGTTGGATCCATTTGACACGATACGCGTTATTCTTGATATTTCATTTATATTATAATTTACCTTAACTTGAACATCAATATAACGACTACTGGCTTTCAAAGACAAAAATATGTGTGGTTATGGTTAATGGTTAATGGTCTATTGGGAACGGGGGTAACGTAACCAGTCATCAAGTGCAGCATGCTTGAAATGACAAATACAAAACCAATCGCACCGCAGAATTTCAGCATCAACACCTCGTCTAATTGAAATTTCTGAGTGCTTGGCAACGAACGAACCCTTCCTTCAAAAATATATACTTCCCACTCAAGTTCGAGGCTCTTTGGAATAAATTTAATGATATGTGCGCTACCTTTTTTTTCGCTTTTTTGCTACAAATGATTATCTCCGCATTACAATCCATTGATTCCACTTAAGCACCGCTAGAATTGCACCACATGCTGGGTGGTTTTGCCTGGTTTGGGTGCTTTTCACACACATGCGACACTTAATTAACAAATATGCATTACAAACACCCGCAACGAACAGCAATTGGTTGGTCATGTCATCCCAGCAGAGTCCCTCGGTATCAAAAATAGAACCCCCCTAGCTTAACCCTTTATTTGCCACGTCCCAGCCGAAAGACCCGGGGGTCCACGATGATAACCCCTCGAAAACAGGGGCTTTTTCACGCGGGGCTGGCATGTGTTTAATTGAAAAATCATATGCAGCGCGCATAATTATGTTTATTGCAATAATCCGATGCAAATTTGCAAAAACTCAAACTGACACAATCACCGAAATGCTTTAGACGCTGGCAAACACACAACAGTGGCGTAGTTCGCAAAGGGGTCGTAAGTTGCGAGAGCTATAAAATTAGAAATTAATTTATAAAAGGAGAAAAACTTCAATAAACTTAAAATAAATAATTGTTAATTGTTTTTATAATAGTTAATTAAAAAGTTCCACAAATTTAACATGTTAATGTTCCAAAATTATTATGCTTTTTTGAACAGTATAAAATAATCCATCTGATTAAAAATAAAGTCATTTTTTAATGATGCTGAAGAATTCGCGTTGCATTTTTCTTCCATTGTTTGGCATTGTAGATCTTTGCATATGATTTTCCCCGTTTTATGTTAATGCTTGATGCCCATCTCAAATTTGCCCAACTACGCCACTGAGTAAACCCCACAGCCGTTGCACTGGGAAACCCCTCCCCCCATTTTCCACCCCCATGCAACCGGTTGCTGTTGCAGCGACGACGCCCTTGCGCTTTTGTGCAACTGCAACTGCCTGGTGATTTGTGTTTGTATCTGCGTGTGTACTTGTAGTTGTATCCGCCATCCATAACCGTATCCTTATTTGTATTTGTATCTTTATATCTGCATCTGTATATCTGTATCGGTGTTGTTGTTTTTGGCTGCTGGCGCGCATTAAATTGCTCTTTAAATTGCACATTTCAACGCCTACTGATTATGACAGATAATTATGTTATCGAGTGCCGCCACACGCCGCATTCAACCCTATATACCGCCCATGGAAATGTACTTCCCCTTAAAATATTTGGCCGAAAATTATGGCTCATTTTCAAGGCATATGTGAAGATATTTTAGCTAGAGTGGAAATAGGAAAATATGTATATGCCTAGAATATATTTTAAAAAATTTTAAAAATCTGATAATAACTGAATAAATAATAATATATGATTAGAATATACTTATCAAAGGTTTTACTGTAAAATTCTGAATATATGGTTTTTTTAAATATTTAAATAAATTTCTGTATTCCAAAGCATCTATTTATCACATTATTTTCTTCAAGAAAAGACTTCCTTCTCCGCCTTTTCCCCGAAGCCAAAGTCAGGTGAACTCGGAGCCTGAGTTCTCTTTGGGGACAGGTGTACTCCCTTTACAATCCACACATTTCATTTCCGCAGGTACACATATTTTTAATCATCATTAACAATAATTCGAGAAATACTTTTAATTTTGTGTTCGCGGCAGGCTCAAGACGACATGTGGCGTCAGGGGCGGGGGTTTCGAGGGGGATGGTTTGAGTCTGAGTTTTGTTTCCTATTCCCCCTACTACCCCTTTCCTGTTTTTTTTTTCTGCTGCCTCAATGACATTGCACTTACTGTCGCCGCCTTCAAGATTTATGAAAAAATGTCCCACCCCCCCGGGGGAATTGTTTTCGACGCCTTTGCCCGCGTTCCGTTTGTTGTTGTTTTCTCTTAGGTTCGCTTCTCGTTTTTTGTTGTTGTATTTTTTCTGGCATTTTCTTGTGTGCAATATTAATTATTATGGGCGCCCCGCCACCCACACAAATAAATCATAAATTAAAAGCTGGGAAAGTGGCTGCTACACCCCCGTTAGACAATTTTTATCATTAAACGCATTTGATAATTAAAAATTGTCATTTTTTAGCAGCCCCAAGTTTGGGAAAAAAATGGAAAAATATTAAATTACCAAAGAGCGGGGGGTTTTTAGGGTGAAGGGCATTTATCATTTTGCCAACTGTTTGTTTGATAAGGGAAAAGCGAACCAAAAAAAAAAAGAAATATATATATACAGACATAAATAAAAATTAATTGGAGAGGAGAGCTGAAGTCCACATAAATATTACTTAAAATAGATTCGGAAAAGCCGAAAAGTGCCAAGCCAATCTCTTCATTTACCTTTTCCGCTTGGCTCCGCCTAAGGTTTCATTTCATTAAGTTTTACAAGCTCTTCGATTGCCCCTCAAAGAAAAACGGAAAAATAATAAGAATAAGTACCAGAAACAGAAACCTGAGCAAAACCGAAGTAGACAACCGTTAAAAGTAATGCGAAAAGTGGAAACCATTATAATTGTTGTTAAATGAACCAGATACCAAAGGCAGACGGAAGTGGAGCGGGAAAATGGAGGGGGAAGTGCGGAAGAGCCCGCGGCAAATGTGTTTCCAATTGATGGAAACCCGTCCAATTGGCAAGGTTTCCTCCGCCGGCGAAAATAGCAACAGAAATAAACAGTTGTATACCATAGACGAAGAAAATTCGGGGGGCAAATGAGTGCTGGCGGAAAATAGACCTGGAAATTGTATTAACATTTCGAGTGCTTTAATCTTTGGAACAAGAAAATATCACTAGATAATAAGGACATTTTTAATTACGAGGTATAATAGTATCATTTGTTATTTTATATTATAAAATTATATTTTATATAATAATATTTTAAATAATTATAATGATCAGTTATCTTTTTCATCTACTTTAGCATGTAAATAAATACTTCGCTATTTTTTTACCTCTTAAAAGCTCACCGAAAAAAAACCATAAACCTTGCTCACAGCTCCTAAAGGATATTTTCCTCATTTTCCCCGGTTGCCTTTGAAAAATTCCGCCCAGGCTTTGGCATTTTCCGCGCTATTACCACTTTTCGAAGCAATAAAATATTATTAAAATTATATTTCGCCCGCCGCACACACAAAGGCACAGACCGAGCATCTGAATCTGCTGGCTGTAAATCAACGTCTCGATGACATTAAAATAAAATTTTAATGCCGCGCCAACGAGAGAAGGAGACGGCACTAACCGACTAGAAAGAGATGGGGGTATAATAATTTCTCTGCCGCGCCTTTTTGATCGAAAACTTTTTCACGTCTGTAGTTTTGTGTGTGTGTGTTTCCTCCGAAAGTCTCATCATTTTCACCTTGGTTACAAATGCAGCGCCAACAATTTTATTTGAATTTATCAGCCCCGCACCAGAGAATTTTCCTGGGCTCTTTGCCTTTTTTGGCTCATTTTCCCTGCTTCCCGGTACTCGGGGCAAATAATTGTAAATATTTGATACACAATAAGGCAATAAAAATAAAATTGAAAATTTTTCGCTTTGTGCCCGCCTTTTATTATCATCATCATCATCAGGAGCATCATCCTCCCCATTTCGTCTGGGATTGTGTCGTAAAGGAAATTGATACATAAGTCATTTTTATTGGCATATTCTTTTGTGTAATTACGTTGCAGGTAATTTAAATTTCCGTTTCGTGTTTGGGCCGCCGATGCTTCAGCTGGCTGGAAATAATTTATGCCAGATGAAAAATAAAAAACCTATTAAAAATAATACGTAATCTACGTAAATCGCATCGATTTTCAACTCGAGTGGAGATGAAAATGTGGAAAATGGGGAATAAATCCCCCCACTCCAGTGAAAAATGAAAGGAATCTGGGTATTCAAAAAGTATGCAAGAAAAAATTAGTTCTGAAATCCGCCAATGATATAAAATATATGCCAGCAAAAAAAGAAAAAAAGTTATAGATTTTTCAAAACAAGTGCCGCTTAATTTTTATTGATCCCTTTTTCGCGGCCCCCAACATTTTTCCGCTCAGTTTTCCTGGACCCGCTGGACGAGATGCTCCAGGACATTCACGCAGATGCAGTAGATGAAGATGATCTTGAAGCAGTGCATGCTGAACTGCAGCAGGATCAGGCGATCAGTGTTCATGGTGGATCGCTTGGAGCTTGGAGAGCTCGAAATCGAGGGATATTGCTTCCAAAAATTAAGAACGGCAGCTTATTTCCACATTTTTTGTTAGTTTCTTAGAACAAATCAATTTTGACGTTACAGGCAAAGTGAAAATGTATTTTGCATATTTTAGACTATAAATATAATATTTATTTTGACATTACATCTTTTTTTTGCTTTTAAATGATTATAAAATTTAATAATACAAATTTTCTTTACAAAGAAAACAGGAAACAGAAAGTTTCTCAGGATCCGCCACTTAACCGTTCAATTTGGGGTTCCGACAATCCGCCACAATTGGCCTCCTATTTCCCCTGATCCCTGATTTCCCCTTGCCCCTACCATTTTCCTCAGTATTACCTATGTGTATTTTCCAAGCTTTTTTGCTGCAAAGTTTTTGCGGCTTTTTCAATATTTTATGAGTCAAGCTTTTGCGTTAACACCTTAAGTACGGAGGGCATTGCGGTTGCTTGAGGGGAAAGGGGGAGGGGGTGAAACGAACCCCTCAAAGAGAGTGTAAGTGTAAGTGTGTGTGTGTGGCAGGAAATAACGCGCAAGTTGTAAGTTTTAACTAGCGAACAACTTGCGTTGGACCAAGAGACCCGGATTCAGGAACCCCATTGCCCCCTTCTGCTTTGCCTTCTCCCAGCGACACCCATGGAAACCGCAAAATCGAGCACAGGGGGTTAGGGGGCGAACAGGGGTTAAGGAAGGAAGGAAGGAAGGACGACTGTTGCGCCTGTTGAGCAAGGATGTGTTTTTGTTGTTGCCGTGGTTGCAATGAAGCATCGAATATTACACACAAGCAAACCAAGAAGAAGAAACCCATCCACTAAAGGGAAAAGCCCCACACCATTTTCCTTTGATTTTCCCGTGCACAGGGAAAAACTTTAAAGTCCTTTATGAGTTTTATTTGAATTAAAAATACAGCTTAGTTGAAAATCAAACCCAACAAGCTTAAAATAGTTCGAGTCACGGGTTAAAAAACGGATTTTTGGGTCACCCTTTTTGTAAACCAATGAGAACTGCACTCTACTCATCTCAAATTAAAATATAAATGGAAATTGTAATAAAATATAGAGTTAAGTAGCAATGGCTTTAGAGTTTTCAGTTAAGAAATACTAGTTTGGGGTCACCATTTCTAGGGAAGGACATTTTTTCTTTCTTTTCGTCTTATTTTTTTCCGTGTACCACATTGTAGACGTCGACAACGATTTATTTCCCAGGCAACTTAAGTACGATGCCACTCCTCCCGGAACAATGCCCATTCATATAGCCACGCCCACACGACGCCCCCACCCACACACACACTCACACTCACTTACTGGGAAATAGAGAAATCCAAAGGGAAAGTGTGGGGAATTTTTGGTGCTCCAACTCAATGAGTCGAAATTAAACAATGCAAAAGATTAAGTGCAGATTTGGGACTTTATCTGCCTGTGCCATAAATTGGTATTTAAGGGATACCTCACAAATGTCTATAGCACACACACACACACACTGACAAATCCATGGCTATATCCCAGGAATCGCAGCTTATGTGGGTGGCGCCGCCTTGAAGTATGCTGCAAAGTTTGCTTTGCCAACAATAGATCACAGCACCCAAAACACAACCACACACTAAATTGCTTGCTTCCTTTTTGCAGGTGGCAACCCTGGTAAAAACCGAAAACCAAATGCAGCGCAAGTTTTCCGTTTTGTTGTTTACCAATACAGTTTACCTCTTGCGGAAAGTGGAAAACTGGGGAAAACGGAATGGGGAAAGCGCTGAAACATGCACAAGATTAATTGCAATCGGTGTTTTGGCATATGTTTTATACTTTGTCTTCGGCTTTTGCCTCAACTTCTTCTTCCAAACTGTTTTGTGTGTTTGGGTTTTCTTTGTGCAGGAAGTTTTTTTGCAACCAGGGGAAATGGGAAAATATACGAGTGGGAGGGAGCGGGGGAACAGGTGAGTGCACTTGGCACTTGAGATGGTAATTAAGCAACTATTTATGGGGTTTTGGTGGAGAGACACCAAACACATGTAGCGCAAAGTTAGTCCTGTTTGGAAAAGCAAAAAATTCAAATTAGAGAGGAATTAATTGCTTATTCAATCGAAAATAATTTCAATAACTCATTAAATACGGAATTATTGCCAAGTAAATATTTAATTTAATTTAATTAAAACAAAACATTATTTATTTTTCTCCCTTATTATCCCATTTATCTTTACTCCTGACAATAATAATTATATCCATTTATTTTAACATCATAAATTAAACACAAATATTAAACATTTTCTTTCTTTGTGGTATAATAATTATACACAAAAGCAAATAAAATATAATAATAAAAAAAGAGAAAATAATTGAAAAAAGGTATTAAATACATGTCCCCAGCTAATTAGATATATCATTTAATGTTCGTAAACATAATAGATTAAATAGAAATATTAGTAAATTTTCGCCCTTATATCAAGCTATAAATTTAAAATATTCCCCAGCCATATTTTTACCCCTGCCGATAATAATTACTGCCAGATCTCTCCGCCAGATTGGCCCCTTAAATGCCTGCTCCTTTGTGGCATTGTTCAGCTGGATTTTCCCAGTGCCTCCTCCTCCGCTCTTTTGGCTGGCGTTCCTTATTCAATTTCATTTGCAGGCCAGGACCATAATTCGATTGCCTCATGTCTTAATGGCATAATCCTGGCAACAATAACAACACCACATTGTTCGCCTGCGTCCTTTTATATCCTATATCCTTGTGTCCTCTCCTCTGACATCCTATCCAGCCCCCATATGAACTTCCTCTCCATCCGCCTGGCATCTCAACACCATATCACTTTGATTACTTTATTATTGGTGGGCATGCACACCTTGCCACCCACCTCCATTATTTATTTTCCTCCAGTTTTACCCGATTTTTCCCCACTGATTATGGTGCTTCCCCTTCAACGCAGCCAGCTCTTCTCTTCCCCCGGAAATTCCTGGCATTATCCCACTTTACTTATTAGAAGCAATCATACAACGGGTCCAACCCCGTCGCACAAAAAAAGAGGAAGAATTTTTGAAGTCGGGGTGTGTTTTTGGTTGGGGAGTGTAGGCAGTAGAAGAAGAAGCAGCAGCTGAAGAGGCAGCCAAGAAAAATAAATCATTTTTTCTGTTTTTGTTGTTGATTTATGCGTTTATTCGATGTCCCTCACTCCAAAGGCATCTCTCTCCTTTTGTCTATAAATGTATCTCTGGTCCTTTGAACACTGAAAAAAAGCAGCTAATATTTTATAAAAGAATTTATTGAAAAAATAAAGCATTTCGTATTAAAAGAAAGCGGATTATTTCATTTTTAACCGCAAAAAACATACTTTTAAAAAAACTATTCCATTATTTCATTTATTGAGTTAAACATACAAAAAACCAACACATTTTTTATGAACACTTTTCTTAAAAAAAATGTCTTTTATAAATTATTTTTGAATAATAAATAAGTTGATTTTCTTTTTAAAAACCATGCAATATGATAATTTATTATAAATTGCTTAAATAAAAATCTGGACACTTTGCTTTACAATTCCATTTCTTTAATTCCTGCTTAAAAATGCTTTTCTCAACATACGGTTATAATCCAATTAAAGGTTAGCTGGTTTTCAAGACTTTCTTGGTAATATTAAGCCTAACGGCTTACTTTTCTTTTTTCTCAGTGGACTGACTGCACTTTAGCTCCTGTTGATAATGAGCCAAATCATTTTTCGTGAGATAAATTTCGCCTCGACTATGGCGGCATATAAGTAGCTGGAAAACTTATGTTCTGACCTGGCCCCAAACTCCGGTTCCTAAGCTAGTTACTACGCTTTTGTCTGGCAAGTCATTCAGTGGCCTCCTCCTACCGCCACCCACCCACCTCGTTCACCTTGAGGAAAATTGTTGGGAAAATGGGAGGGAAAATGGGTGGAAAAGGGGGAGGGGGAAGTTGGCGTCGACAAGTTAGAGTTTTGGTGCGCTCCTTGAAAGCGTTATAAATCATTGACATGATTAAGCGACGCGGCACGACACGACATCCTTTTGTTGTAGTTGTAGTGGTGGAATATATATACATACATACATGCATATATCTATACATAAATATAAGTGAGTGAGTGTGTGTAGCTAGTGGCAAGGAGAAAGTTTTGCCGACAATCCACAGCGGCGATGGGCAAAATGATAATTTAATATCGAAAATTGTTTTTATTGAGTTGATTTGTAAGTCGTATTTTGGGTAGGAGTGCGAGGTGGAGTATGTGCTTAAAATTCACCAGAGATTTCACTGATTGAAAGCTTTAAGATCTGGCAAAAAATTAAAATCTGAATTATAAATATTATTTCTAGTGCTAATCAATATATTTTAAAATTCGGCTCACAAATATTTTTCATACCGTTTAAAGACATTTTTCAATAGTCCGATGGCGGATAGCTCCCCTGAGCCGCATAAAAATCGTATGGAAAATTGTGGAAAATCCACGCTTTTCAATGCATCCACGGCTTTTGCTTGGGCACTCGTCGTATTTTATTTTCTTTTTCTGTTTCTTCATTTTTTTTGCTCCACCCGGGGCACTTGAAAATGCGATACTCATCCGCCACTTTGGCCCCGGCATCTTACATAATATTCCGTTTGCCTTTGCACTTGTGTGTCCCGTTTTTCTCAGCCCTTTTTCCCGTGCCATATAGCATATCATGCCTTTCCATACCCATACCAATTTTTCCCTTTTCCTTGGCGTTCTCGCACATCAAACATATTTATGTGTACTTTAAGAAACTTTGCTAATATGTTAAAACTGTTCATTGACACCAAAAAATGAGCAAAAAGCGTGCCGCCATAAAAAAGGCCAAGGAAAGAGGTTGGGAAGGGGTTTTCCGCACCCCCGCCCCCTCCATTTTCCGACCCCTCTGTTTGAGTTTCGCTTGCATGGCGAGGAGATTTTCCTCATATGTGTTTGCAGTGTTGGAAAACACAAACACAAACTGTGAGCTTATTAAACGGCAGTCGAAACGGGTCGAAACGGAACGAGAGGAGAGTTCTAGTCAAATAGCAGAAATAGAAACAACCGGAACAAACTTTGTTTGCCGCT